TTACCTAATGCAACTCCACACTACGGTGCTGTGTACCGGAGGAGAGACGCGAGATACGGCTGATACTTGACGATCTGGCGGAGAAAGGTTGTGGAGCCTCCGTTGATATGTCGTTGTAAATGGCTTGATGGAAAGCAGGTGTGTAGTCGGGGATGGTGCACAGCTGATTGAAGCAGGTGAGTGGAGGTTGAGCCGGGAGCCAGGAGTGACAGCCACCACGCACACACAAACAACACAGACAGGGGGAAACAAACAAACAAACACAAAGGAGACGGCTGGAGCAGTACAGCCACCACAGCGTTACCTAATGCAACTCCACACTACGTCTTACGGTGCCGTGTACCGGAGGGGAGAGAGAGAGAGCAGCGAAGGGGTGGGGGAGAGAGAAGTAATACGGATTCTGTGCTGCAGGGAGGTGGATGCACAACGCACCCAGGAACGAACGCTAGCTCCGGTCCTTTTTACTGTGGACTCGATGTCCTGACAGGCTGGTATTTGTGCAACCTGCACGAACACAATACTGCACCATGATTACAAATGGTGAAATACAATGTAAAACTAGCGAAAAATACCAGCTCACTAAAACACAACCGCTCAACTCAACGCAACTACTAACTATACCCGCGGTCAGAGAGCGGAGATGTTTACCCTTTGTTATGTAATATGACGCGTTTGACCTTAAAAAAAGCCATTTTAAGAGCAGAGCTCAAAATTGCTCCTTTCCCTCTGAATTCCTGCCCTTATGTCTCGTAAAACATGTCAAATCCTACATTCACTTTTTTTATTGTAATTTTCAAGCAAGTTTAAGCATAAATGTAGAAAAAAAAAAAACCTGCAAGATGCTCTTTAAACTATTGTCCAAACTATTATTAATTGTGCTTTGTAAACCCTTATTCACACAGTTTCAAAATAAGCAGACATTCGAAGCTTGAAAGGCCTGCTGTGTTACGGTTGAGTGAAGGAAGCAGGACCCAAATGCAGATAACTCTGATGAACCTTTATTTCAAGGATAATGAAAATAACTCGGACAAAACAGAACACTCACCGGTGAACTCAGTCACCAACAAAAGACGAACCAACACTGAACACAGGAAGAGACAAGACTAAATACAGGGAGGGGTACAAGACGAGAAACAGCCGGGCAGGGGAGGAGAAACACAAGGGCGACAGGTGAACACAATCAGACAATTAGACACACCAGGGAAACTAACGACAGGGAGGAAAAACACAGGAAGAAGGACCAGACAATATACAAGGAGGAAAACACCCATAACCAGACATACAAAACTACAAACGTGAGACCATGGCAGAGACCATGGAGGGGGTCTCGGGCGGACGGCCCGGGGGCAATGCAGAGTCCACGGAGGGGCGAAGGCCACAGCGGGCGAACTCAGGGGGCCGAGCATGAGGGCAAAGACCGCGGCACTCAGGAGGCCGGGCTCGAGGGCGAAGACCGCGGCTCTCAGGGGGCCGGGCTCGAGGGCGAAGCAGGCGGCGACGGAACAACTCCGGAGGACCAGCAGGAAGGCGCTGACGGGACAGCTCCGGAGGCCGGGCAGGACCCGGTGTCAGCCGGACAGGAACCCGGCGGGACAGGCTTCGGCAGGATCCCCCACGGAAGAGGACCAGAAGTTGGCAGGACCTCCGGCAGAAGAGTTGTCGGCGGGACCCCCAGAGGCACAGGACACAGGGTTGGCAGGACCCACGGCAGAAGAGTAGTCGGCGGGGCCCCCAACGGGACAGGACATGGAGTTGGCAGGACCCCCGGCAGGAGAGCAGTCGGCGGGACCTCCAACGGCACAGGAGACAGGGTTGGCAGGACCCCACGGCAGAAGAGTAGTCTGCGGGACCCCCAACGGGACAGGACATAGGGTTGGCAGGACCCCCGGCTGGAGAGTAGTCGGCGGGGCCCCCAATGGGACAGGACATGGATTTGGCAGGACCCCTGGCAGGAGAGCAGTCGGCGGGACCTCCAACGGCACAGGACACGGGGTTGGCAGGACCCCCGGCAGAAGACTAGTCGGCGGGACCCCCAACGGGACAGGACATAGGGTTGGCAGGACCCCAGGCAGGAGAGTAGTCGGCGGGACCTCCAACGGGACAGGACAGAATGACACTATAATATTATAACAAAGGTGTGACCCACTATACTCTGCCTCTGATTTGCTAGTAATTGTTGTCTTTGTTGGGAAAACCAATAACAGGGAGAGTTAGATTGGTCATTCCTTTATCATAGTCGTAAAAAATGTAAACATTGCACTATGGATGTTCAATTACCTAATTTGGCAGAATGATTAGCCTTTAGCTTTTGTTGCTTTTTCAGGCTTTCTGACCAAAAATAAATGTGTTGTTTGGAAAATGCCATGGCAACATATAGATTTTCCCTCAAGGTTTCATTGTAGCGTTTGGAACAATTCAACAGGTCTATGAAAATGATTGTTAACGCATAGATCAATACGTATCTTGCCTATCGTTGTGTAAGCTGTCTATGCGAATCAGTGTTGCTTGGAGTAGTGATTGAGCCTCGCACCTTAAGATGTAATTGATTTACAGGCTTCTATTGTCATAATGCTAAAGAGAAGGTGGACGACATTTCAGTCTGGCCTTTTGTTAATCCTGCTGGTACAGTCAAACCAATCAATTCTCTAAAGGCCAGAATTTAAGCTCGGGCTAAAACGTATGAAATGTTGTTTTTTTGTTTGTTTTTTTAAATGAAGGCCAAACTCCTACAGTGAATAAGGAGGAGGCAGAATAAAAGATTGAGCAAAAGAAGGGAGAAGGAACAATCCCTCTTTACCTTGACAAGCCCATGAACCGTAAAATGGAGGCAAAGAAGGAACTCAGAGAGATTTGTGCAGGAAAATAGTGAAGAAAGAGGATATGGTGCATTTTTTTTATACAAACAAAACTTGTTATGGTCACTTGGCTGTTTAACTGTTGACAGAATGACTCACTTTAAGTTTCAAATTAGTTGTACAAATGACATACATAATCATACATTTTCTTCTCTTGTTTACCCAGGTATATGAGAGAGGAACCAACGTGGAGCAGTTTGTGACCCGTTTCCTGCTGAAGGAATCAGCCAATCAGATTCAGTCTCTACTGAGCTCTGTGGAGAGCGCTGTGGACGCTATTGATGAGCAGCACAGCCAATCAGGGTGAGCCAATGAGAGTTGCACTGTGTGTATGTTGATGACTGTACACATGTATCGTGGCATTATCTGTAAAACTCAGATAGTCAGCAGTCAAAGTGAAAACCAGGCAGCGTTTCAATCACAAATAGTTTCTGATTAAAACGTCTGTCGCTTCCACAAACACTCACAGACTGGCACATGGAGGCGCAAACACACACAAAAACAATCAGAACAATCAGCCTCTGATTTTCTTCACAATCATAGGAAAGAAAAACAACATTTAATCTTTTTTCACTCCCATTTTCATATTTTTCATCCCCTGTGGATCCTACTGAACTTCATAATTATTTCAATATTACTTTTTCCTTCACCCTTCCGTCTTATCATTTTAATAAATATTTTGTTCCACCTCTGTCTGTTTTTGCAGTCATCAACCTGCCAAGGTGAGCCCACGGATGTCAGAGAGGCGCAACGAAAACACCGTCCCTGACTATCCCCCGAACAACAGAGTCACTGCCAGGGAGGCTGTTAGGACCGTCAACACTGCTTCAGGTGACACACACACACACACACACACACACACACACACACACACACACACACACACACACACACACACACACACACACACACACACACACACACACACACACACACATCCCTACTCTCCACCTCAATCAGCCACCTTCACAGGTTTAATGCAGCTCTCCTACAGCATAAAGGGCAGTACGAATAAACTGGTGGAGGGAACAGGGTTAAGAGAGAAATAGAGATGAGGAGGGGGTAGTAAAGGAACATTTCTAAGGTGAGGGGACGAGATATAAAAATAAATGAAGCAAAGGAAGGGAAGGTAGAGAGTTGGCTTTATCGTAAAGTGTTAAAGTAAAACATGTAAGTGTAGATGAGGCACTTCAATCTGCTATGTACAGTAGTGCTGTTTTTTTATGGGGTGTGTGTGTGGTACAGTTCCTAAAACAGACACAAATTGATTGAAGCTGGTAATTCCCTTTGATCAAGTGCTGGACACTCATTATTCTTTGCTTCTCGCTCTGTAAACTTCTCCCTCTCTCTCTCTCTTCTTCCACCAGCTGGTGGTTAACACTGCAATGCGCGCTCGCCTCGACACTTAGCGCCCACTCCAACAAATTGCTTGCTGTAGAAATGACACTTCAAAACTTGTCGAGATATGGCTTCCCTTTATTGCAACACAAACTTAACTTAAGAAGATTCAAACAAAAACATTCAAACACAGTTGAGTCAAGGCGTGGGGAGATCTAAACTTTCACTCCTCAGATGTTGTTATTCACAAGTGACAGTTAAAGGTGTTCAGACAACTCAAAATCACTCTGAAAAACACAGACAAGCTGTGGTTAACATGATAAATGACATTATCTGGTCATTTCCATATACGTAGGTGCCAACATCTTACTAAAGTTAAAGTACATGACACCATAATGACTTATTTCAGATTCATACATATTGAAATTATGAGATAATTTGAACTACTTTATATACTGCTACTGGGTATATTTACCCATACAGTACTTATATGACAATATGTTTATTTCCATGTTGATTTATATTTTGTATTAGCTGTAAGGGAAACTTCTGTGTAGCAATGCAGTGGGAGTCACCGACTCATGAAGGAGACACGGGAAGAGCAGGAGCTTTGATGTCAAACACTGATGGTTTATTTAGGAGCTTCGGCCGGAGAATTCACATCACAAGTCCAAGAGCCAGAGGTTCTGACTTCACGGTAGAGTTGCCACGTCAAATCTGAAGAACTCTACCCCAGACCCATGTATTTTGCTAGTTCAGAGAGAATCATCAACATGCTGCATAACAAGATAGAACCATAACACCTCTATCATCTGACGCCAACAGGCAGGAACAGGGAGACAGAACACTGAGAGCACAGCAGCCAAGGTTACAGGTGCCTGTGCTCAGTCAGGACAGTTTGAACTGATAAACTGGACCTTGGAAAATATTTCCCCAAGATTAGCTAATAATCTAAATCTTTAAAGGCACTTAAACTGTCAGAGGAATCTAGAAGAGTACAAAGTAAAAATGTTGGCTTACAAAATGTAGAGGAGTAGAAGTNGGCACAATCGTGACGTCTAACGGCTGTGTTGTTTTTCTGGGGCGCTCATTGAAGATGACGTCACGGCTCCGCCTACACTGCGTTACTATAGATACTACCCCAGTTCCTAAACTGTAATGTGAGCGCAGCATTAAAGTGAGCCGGGCCTAATAAGGCCTAACCAAACCGAGCGAGGCCGAGCAAGGCCTGCAGAGTAAAGGCGCCATAAGTGCGCAGGATTCTGTCACCAAGGTGACGTTTTGGTCGTGGCCATCTTGGCCTCAAATAAAGAAAGTTAAAGACATTTCTAAAATATCTGGCTCTTTAGCTGCTCAATGCTCCAACTTGTTCATCAGTTAATTTAAAATCATATCTGTTTCTTGCAGTTACAGGGTACAGTTTGTTTTAGAGCCATATACCAACAATAGCTGCCTGGTAATGAAGCTGAATAGAGGGACTCACAATATATATGATATGTTTTGATTATAATTATTGTTGCATTAAAGTGTTAATCAAAGCTAGTAAAGGTGAAGCTAGATTGAATTACTTTGCCTATTGCTGGGTAGCTTGTGTATTTACTCCAGGTTTAAATAAAGTCTTACATAAGTGTTGTTTAAATTTCAAATCCTTAATCCAAATCTGCAAAGTAACTAAACGTATTAAATAATTTAAGTGGAGTAGAAGTACAAAGTAGCAAAACATTTAAAACTCAAGTACCTCAGAACTGTACTTACAGTAAGTATAGTACTAGTAAATCTACCCACTTACTTCCCACCACTGACTAGAAGTACTCCTTGATATCCTATTCCTTTTTTTCTTGGTCTCTTTTAGGAACAGACTAAAGAGCTTCTTTCATATCTTATTTTTCACGGTTCTTCACCGAATACAAAAAGCTAGGAATTATTTTTGGCCTGATCCAGTTCAGAGTCCTTAAAGATTAGGTATATGTCAAATTCAATAATTGTCTTTATTTAAATGTTAATTAAACATATGTCTGACACACTGAGATAACACATATCTTCTAAAACATCAGTAGTTTAAAATACTTTGTGATTGACACTATAAACCTGATACATTTTATTTATTGATATGAAAAAGATGAAAGTTGACTGCAAAAATGCCTCTACTGAAATTGCCATTGTGTGAACTGCTATGGATAAGATGTTCCATTTTATGAAAGTCTTTGGGACAAAGCATTCCATTTTATGTTGAACTGTGTTAAAGAGTGATGCTCCTGATAAACAACCTTTGTCCGAGTCCAGACACACAAACCAAAACTGTTTATTTTGGTCATATTTATTTTGAGATTAAAATATTTCGTAAATCAGTCTTTGCGAATAATATAGGAGAATATAAAAAAAAACGTATATAACAGGGGAGTGCAGGTACAGTTTTATAGACAGGAAAATATTCTTTGGCTGAAAAGAGAGAAATCCATCTGTCTGTCAGTATTCAGCCTCAGTACCACCTGTACCAGATGTGCAGCTACAATCAAAGGCTATCTGAGAAAAAAAGATTCTGCCTGCCAGAGGGCAATAAATAATGATACATTGTAACCCAAAGAACAAACAAACTCCCAGTGGAGCGTGGAACATCTGAGAGTGTGACGGAGCAGTGCATTTTTGTCACTTTAAATATGGTTTGCAGGTAACAGGATTTCCAGTGTGCTATCACAAAGCAGTGATGCCAACATGGGGCACTATTTTCATCTCGCCAGGCAACACAGTGTGAAGCTGGCATATTATTCATCCAGTAAACAATTCATGATTCACTCAGTGTGATATTATCCTCTCCACTTCCATACGCAGTCTTAACACTGAGATCTTTTCAGGTAATACCAGGCCAAACAGAGCAACAGACAAAGCCACAGTCAATACGCCTCCTCAGAGCTATATTCTCCTTTGATATGAATACTGCAGCATAGCCTTCTGAAAGTGTTATCCAGCAGAAAATGTCTATTCACTTGCTTTTCTTTAGTTATGGTTATTCTGAAAAGACACTTTCCAACTCTTCAAAAATGTTCTGACCTATTTTTGTTTCAATGTGCAGAGTTTTTCTGCAAAACCAATGTAACCACTGAAGAACATCCTCAGCAGCCTTGCAGGACCTCAACATGAAAGGATGATGTTTTATTATAAGCCATGTTGGGACAAGTTTAGTCAAAGTCTCCAAAGATAAGAAATCTGCATGTATGACCAAAGGGCACATTTAGGTAATTCTCTAAATCATTCGTCTTGATGGATATTCATAACATAATAAGGGTAGATAGAGCTTGACCTGAAAAAAAACTGAGAAAAAAGCTTGGGTCGTTTACTGCAAAGTTATCTTTAAAATAATTTTACTTTACATTCATGACATGTGTATTTCCTGCAATTTTATTAAAAAAAAGAAAAACAACAACAAACTTATGTAATGAACCCCTGCTACAAAAAATGTACATGTACATATTCAAGTTCTTCTTATACGCAAAGTAGTTACCCACATAGTTTGTATGTAACCTGGACATGCATATTTGTCTCAATAAAGGTACCCAGTATCTTAATATTTACACTGAAATAAGTGGGCTGTAGTTTAGAGTTGTATTTAACCTTTCCTTTAGTTGCTCATTACTTTCACTGATTGTTATTCATTGATACAGGCCTACATTTGTTCACTGGTTAGGCTGCTGGTTCAATTTGATTTGGCTTGTTAATGCAGACGGAAGAAGAATCAGGAAATTAAAGCAGAGTCATTGTCATCTCTACTTTTCCCTCAAGTTTCAAGTAATTACTACTTAATTTATAAGCATAAAAGAAATAAAACACAAATGAATAATTCCTAAGAAGAACCTGTCTTCATTTAATTTAAATTAGGTAAAAATGTGACTGTTTAGTCAACCTTGAAAATAATTACTAATTACTAATTACTAACTATTACTAATTACTAACTATTCTTCGGTGGAAGGCAATTCAATCACTTCTCCTACAGTAAAGGTCACTTGACCTAATGGAACAATATTACCTAAACCTGGACAATTTGTAAGACGTTTATTAAGTTAGCAGCTGGAGCAAAGGGCTAAAGGCTGGTTCTAAACAGGCCTCACAGTACATACAGTAGGTCTGTTTAGACAAACAATGTTTTTGGAAAACCAGGGCTAATGTAGTATAAGTATAATACCTGATGAAACATTTGTTCTCTATTTTGTTATCATCTATTTCCCCATAAGTATATTGTATTTAGTTGTGCATAGCATGTGCATCACTATGTTTAGAAAAGTATTGTGGACACTTTTAGATTAAAACAACGCGTAACGTAGGGCATACTATTTGTTAACCATGCCTAAAGACTGGCTTTGCTGGGCAAAGCAGAGGCGATGTTTGCTTTTCTCTTTTCTTTTCAAAGTATTCTAATAGTAATTGTTCACATTTTTTAATTGCACCTCTAAGGTTCACAGAAATACATCTACCAAGTGTAAACGGATGAATGTTCT